GTACGTGCCAGAACTGGCATATGGAGCTGTTCTCCGTGCACGTCTCCCAGCCCTTCGCTGTGGCACCAGTGCTGCGGTGGAGGTGTGCCAGTTCCTTGTGCCTGGCTCCTCGGCACCACGTGCCGCACGGAGAGAGCGTGAGATGGTCCGCAGTTGTGTGCTGGGGAGGAAAGCAGTGGGTGAGGGTAAGGCTGAAGGCTCTCGCTGCGGATCTGCTGCCAACTCTCGTTTCTGACATACGACCGGACCTGGTAGGTGGTATGGAACAGACTCACCACCACGTGTCTCCGGTGAAATCCTAAAAGCTCAGACCTGTGGAGAAACCTCGTGAACCAAAGGAAGGGAATGAATCTTCTGGCTGTAGTGCTGTTTTTCATTGGAGCAAGAACGGCTTTGATGGAACTGAGGCGTGAAACGAACTGTAGAAAGAATGCCAAATGTTACGGTGAAGGTGTGCTCTTACTGGGATGGTCCAGGGAAGAATGTCATCTCTCCAGGCTGCCCTTGGTGTCTCCCAAAGTCGTGTAGCACATGGGACAAGTAGGCAGCTTTGCTGTGTGCGGCTCAGAGCAATGCCACCACCGTTGTGTGCCAAGCAAGGTACCCTCCTAGGGCTGAGTCGAAATCCGTCTGGATGAGCTTAATGGGTCTGACAGAGCCACACAGAGAATTTCCAGTTAGAAGATCTTTTCTCTTCTTGTCTTCCCAAGCTGGTTATACTTTGAAGTAGGCCCCAAACGCTGACAGCCTGTCTTGTCACACACTTGAGGGCTTTCTAGTCTGGAAAACCAGAAGCAGAATGCCGTAGTGGAGACTACTCTGGCCATGTAATCGGGGGGTGGAGTAGGAGGGGGTTGGAAGCTGTTCCCACGTGGCAGAGAGCAGAGCCTGGCCCCCTCGCTGGGGAGAGGTCCCATCACAAAGGTAACTGTTGTGTTTTAGATTTCACGTCAAATTTCAGCGCTCGTGAGGAAAAGAGGCAAAGTTGCAGCAGGTCAGAAGGCATCCTGAAAATCGGAGCGGGTTGACCAGGCAGGCGAGGGAAGGGCAGGGAGCCACCGTGCCTCGGTCGAGAGGAGGGACAGCAAACCCGTAGGCACACCGCCCTCCCCGTCCCAGTGCTGCCAGTCGCAACGCAGTGGGCCGGGGTGGCTTTTTCGTTGTTAATTTTGGAGGTGGGGGGGGGTGGGGGTAAATTTAGGCACCTTCTGATGAGGTGAGCACCTATGTTCAGTTACTCAGTGAAGTTTGAAAACCGAAATGGCAGCGGAGGTGACTGGGGCCTGGCTGTCTCTGTTCCTCGGGTGTTCTAGAATGCAAGAGTGGCTAAAAATAGGAGTAATCTTTCCTCTGGGAAATGGGCTGCTTGGCCTCTGCCCCAGAGGTGGGTGCACTTCACTGGCATTTTAGATTGGTTCACAGAGTCCTGCTGGGAAAAAAAAAATTGTTACAGAAATATGAGATATTTATTAGTCCGTTAACGGTGGAAGGAATTAGTATTTGTGCTTTCAAGCCGTATTACAGGGAATGAGCTGTTGAGATCAGGACTTTAAATGTGTTCCTAATATTGGAAGCTTTCTTTGCCTTCACAGCAAAGTAGTGTTATTTAAATAAGTATGTGTTCACTCCCTCTCTTGCCGGCTTGGTCTGAGCACTCGGCCTGTCTCTCTTCATCGTGCAGAAACTTCTTCGACCCACACTAATGCTGGCTGCAGTTTCTATGCTAATTTAATCCACTTCAGCCTTTTGGTCATTACTATAATTAGAGCGGCTGCATCACTTTGCAAATCTGTCTGCCATTTAAACTAAACACTCTTCGGAGCTTTGCCTGGTTATGCCGGGTTTCTGTTTAGCCATTGTAATTTTTTTTAAAGCCATATATGATAAAGGGAGAGTGCCTGGCCTGAACTTTGGTAGTGAAGTAATACTCCTGGTCTGGGATCCTTAAAAGGTCTTTAGAAACCTGCTTGCGTGCCTGCATCTTGTGAGCCTTTGGAAGGAGCAGTTACTGGTTTGTTAATCAGATGTGATGCATCAACAAGCCTTTGTACTGGCCACAGCTCGTTATTAGAGGCTGGCTAATTGTGCAGGCGAGGGGTGAGTGGCTTTCTGAGCGCGGGTGTCATGTGTTTGGGCAGAGGCTCTTGTCTCTGAAGCCGTGCTCTGAATTCCTCGTAGTGCTGCTTTCAGGAGTCCGAACTCCTGAGATGTAACCGTGCTTCTCAAAGCAGCTTGCCAAACGGCAAGAGAAGGAAGCTGCAGGGAAGAGTTTACGTACAGTTTAGCACCAGCCCAGAGTCGAGCAGCAGCAGAGCAAAGAGCAGGATCTGCGCTTCCAGACACTGACAGAACCACCCGGACCTGACTGGCCTGATCCTCCTGTTTCTCCTCTTCGCAACTGGCATCCACTGGGATTTTGCAGTTTAATGCAAAAGATACTAAAGTGTGGTTTGGGGCACGGTACAAAATCCCAAGAGACAGAGATCAAAACAGCTGATACGAGGTGACATACAAGGGGCTGTTTTCGTAGCCAAGGGAAGATGTCTCCTCACTCAGTTTTACGTTATTTGTTCTCCGCAAGCAGAGGATGCAATTCAGGTCTCTGAACCGTTCAGTCAAGTTAAGTTCAGGCTAAAGTTTGGAAGAAATTGAGTAGTTAGCTGGACCTCCTGCTTTCAGCTCCTTCTTGAGACTAATGTTGTAATTTTCACATTGGTCACTTCATTTCTGAATTCTCCCAGAAGTTACGGCTTTAGTAGAGGGCACTATGAAAGTGCCTCAACAGTTGGCGACTGCAGATGAGGAATTTGATGTGTCTTCAGGATGATTTCTGCATTAACTCCGCTGTAAGGACGCTTAGGCTGGTCACACGAATGGACTGTGACCCCCCGGCCGCCTCAGGGGTCTTTGGCCTGTAACCCGGCCACTGAAGGGCTTGTATTTGGCGGAGCCCAGGGCTGGGCAGCCCGTGTGTGACCTCCGAGCAGCTCTGAGCTGGTTCGGGTGATGGGGAGCAGGGCTGTGTGTTGGGGGGGATCTCTGGAGAGCTCGCAGAGGGGAGCCGGAGGGTGCTGAGGCAGCGTGGGGCTGCCCAGAGGCTGTTGCCATCTCTCGCCTGGAACCTCTCTGGAGTTCCTCCATCCCTCAGCTCTGACATCCGTCATGCTCATCTCTTGGTTCAGGGCTGCTCGGCGGCGCTGGGGACTCGCTGCCCCTCTGGCAGCCCCCCTCGGCACCTTGGCTGCCTTCCCTTTCCTGCCGCAGCCCCCGTCCGTCCCACGGGATGGGGCGCTGCTGGTGAGGCACTGGGCTCTCTTGGTGAGGGAGGCACCTCTCTTGGGGTTTCTGTAGTTTATATCTTCTATAGAAAACCTTGTTCTGCCCCTCCTCAGATGAATTTCATGTGGTATAATAAAAAATCAGTTTGGTTTCATTTGTTCGTGTCTGCAGCAGCTTAGTCAGCTTCTGATGGGTTTGTATTTGTTTCGATGACTTCTATCCCTTCACAATACAACAACTATCAGAGGGAACAGCTTGTTAGGTATAGAAACATTTATTTCTTTCTATGGAAAGTGACTAATATTCAAGTTGCTTCTCAGCTAACTACCAGAATTTGTGCTGAAAGGGGCTGCAGCGTGTGCACTGCCCTGCTGCCTTCGGCCCCGGGCAGTGTCCGCCTGTGGCAGCGGAGCAGCAGCGCTGCCCTGTGCGACTGCTGGGGGTGCTCCTGGTCAGCACGCTGATTAAAAACATACCCTGAAGTCTGAACACTGGAAGCCCACACAAATTTATTTCTGCTCTTGGTAACTATGGATGACACTTAGATAGAAGGAAGCACGAAGTGCGAACATAAAAGGTTTGTCTTGGAAGTGACTGTCCCAGATACTGCAGTAAACACCACTGTAGTGCATCTTTAGGAGTTTCACTGAGGAGCCTGACAGCGAGCTAAGCTCCTGACACTCCAGCATTGTTTGAAAAGCTTTAATTGGAGAGGAGCTGATAAAGCCGCTTCTTTGACATACGGAGCAGATTGGGGTGGGCTGTGTCCT